GTTACAATTCCGGGACTGGTATCCTTGCGCCTGTACCTGCAAAACAACGGAGACTCCTTGTGGTGGGAGCTCCGCCTCCAACGGTCAAGTTAGTACTTGTTTGAGGAGTAATAAATGCGGAAAGTAAAGGTGGGAGATCTGGTTCCTCTAGGGGAGGAGTGATCAATGTGTTTAGACTTCTCTAGGTGAGAGTCATCAATTGCTGAATCCCCTTTAATGAGGATTAATTAAGTATTTATAGTCTTGAGAAGCGTGCCAATCCTAGGTTTAAGTTAACAAGGGCAAATTGGGCTTCTCTCGGACTTTGGGCCTTGGTGGCCATTTTGCCTATTTGGCATATGGGAGGCCACGTGGCGTGGCCTGATTAGTCCATGTTGGACCTCTTAGGGTGACAAGTGGCGGACGCTGATTGGCCCACGTGGTGGACACGTGGCAGGTCCGGATTGGTCCATTTGTCATGGGTAATTTTTACCCTAAACAGTTAGCATACCTGTTCGCGTCCAACTTCTCCATGAACATCCCTGCCAAAAAGACAAGTCTCGACTTAGGGGCTATTCAGCAGGGAGACAAGGAAGGGCTAAGGTCCTATGTCAGGCAGTTCAATCTGATGAGAATTCAGATCCAAGGGCTGTTTGACGAAGTAGCCTATACAGACTTCTTCAAGGGTCTGAAGGACGGGTCGGCCTTTAAGTTCGACCTGGTCAGAAAGAGGGTTGCTACCCTCCAAGAGGCGTTGATGGAAGCCGAAGCCTACATACAGGCGACGGAGCTCTGTGCCATCAAGCACTCGTCAAACCCTAAAAATTCCGACAGGAAGGAGAGCTGGTCTGCTCAGCCGACTAAAAAAGAATAGAGCAAGAAAAGAAAAGAAGTATGGGCGACGGACCATTCTGGTCAACCGTCGTAGAAGAAAAAGAGAGAGTTGAAGCCGTACGTCCCCAAGTACGAGTTCAACAAGGACTTCTCCTCCATCCTCATGGAGATCAAAGATCGGTTGACCATTGAAAAACCGGCAGCAATGAAGAGTCCCATCAAAAGTCGGGACAAGAGCAAGTACTGTCAATTCCATGAGGATATCAGCCACGACACCAATGGCTGATATAGCCTCAAGCGGCTACTGGACTGTCTGGCTGATGAAGGGGCTTTGAAGTCCTTTATGGTGAATTCCAAGGGTAACCCCAAAGCAAACAATGGACAACCGTCTAAGAAGCCGGCTGTGAGCTCTAACACTAATGAAGAGGAAATCTTCACCATAGCAAGTGGTTTCGCGAGAGGGGGTCCTACCATCCGGGGTACCAAGGACAATATTAGGAAGGTGGTTAACTCAGTGAATGAGGGCCACGCGTCGAAAGACACCTCCCCTGAGGTCCTCATCTCTAAGGAGGATTGGGGCAAGGTTAGACGGCCTCATGATGACCCTATAGTCATCGAATGCAAGGTTGCCAACCAGCGAGTAGGCCGGATTCTTATTGATACCGGGAGCTCGTCTGACCTTATAAGCTATCAGTGCTTGGCGACGCTCAAGTACAAGCCTGGCACCATATACAAGGCCTCTCACCCCTTAGTTGGCTTTGGGGGAGGGGTAGTGCATCCGGTGGGGAGGATTGACCTACCTATCCGGCTACGTGTAAAGGGGGAAGAACGGCACATGGTCGTCAAGTTCTTGGTGGTCGAGGAATTGACTGCCTATAATCTGATTTTGGGCCGCCAACCCTCAATGAGTCCAAGGTAGTTATCATCCTATCCCTCATGCTGGTAAAACTTGAGAGGGATGATGGAACGGTGGGTTCCCTAAACGGGGATCAGACAATGGCAAGAGAGTGTTATTTCTTAGACGTCAAGCCTACTGTGGTCGCAGTCGGCAAAGGCGAGGAACTAATAGGGCCGTAAAAAAATAATATTTATATTTATTAAACTCTTGATTTTATATTGGTATTTGATTAATTAAAGATATATTACGTAATTTTCTTATTTAGACACGAGTAACTACTATTTATTCTTATTGTCTATAGGAAGAAGATTATGGTAGCTAAATACATTTGACCACTGCTCGGATCAAAAGAAGCATAGCTCACAAGACTAAAGTAAGTCACATATATTAAGCCCAATGATGTTTGAGTGCAAATTGCCACGTGGGCCTTGAGGTACACCAACATGTCACTCAGCCAACACAAATAAAAAAGCAGCAGTGAAGAGTTCATCTCAATACTCTTGTGGGTATCAAATATCAGCGTAGAGAAGAAAAAGATAAAAAATCAGATAATTATTGGAGTGAAATACTCGGAGCTACGGAGAGGAATCAGAAACGAATTTTCTTATCTTTCGGTTTCGGGAGTTCCGTATTTTCCGGGGGGCAACGAATTACAGAGAAGGGGGAGAAATTGCTGGGCAGCGAATTCAGCGGAAAAAAACCAGAAAATTGTTACGAAAGTTTCGGGGTTGAAAAGAATAATGGTGAAGACGAAGTAGCAGCAACATTATTGATATAATTGGAGTACTGTTCGTGGCTTTCTTCCAATCTCCATTGTAGTATTGGTAAATTGAATTCAATGTTTGACTTAAAGTTCTTTGCATGTTGAATTTCAATTAGTAGCATCCTGGTTCAGTAAGGTTATACAATTTATTAGTTATTTTTTGTTTTCGTTATTTCATTGTTTTACTAGATTAGGTGGTTTAGAGTAATTTTATTTAGATTTAGTTGAATAATTTTATTGGTGGTTTCAGTTTAATTGTTATTCTCTTATTTTAGAACTATGATTTATATAATTGCCGTTGTTATTATTTCAGTTTTGAGTATGTCAGGCTAGATTTAATACGGGTACGGAGATATATTATACATTGGATTATTGTGTTGTGAGAATAAGAATGTGGGTACTTTGAGAGTCTTATGTTTATTTGATTAGATTGATATTCCGTTTTATTGGTATGAATTGTTATATTATATTACAGACCGACCATCTTTAGTATAGTTTGCTAGTTTAATTGCTAGAATATTGATTCGTGATACGTAATTGTCCTAATTAATATTCCTTAGTAGCACTTAGATGTTTGATGGGTGACTAAAGCTTGTTATAATGCTTAAGATTATCAACCCTTTGAGTTGCACGAGTCCGAGCTTGTGAGATTTGTGGCTTAAGTTAGCTACTTCCTAGTTATTAATGCTGCTACTTAATCGAGTCTAGAGAGCTTGTTCTAGATTGTTAGTTAGTTAGACAATACTCCAAGAGCTTGTTTGGTTTATTTGCAATTATGGGAAGTGTTGAATGTTTGTTTGTGTTCATCGGCTAACATTGAGATAAAAACATGATTTATATAATTCGATGATCAATCGATATTCCAATGCTATATTGTATCTCCCGATCCCTATTTTGTCATTCTTGATTTTGATAATTTAATTTTGTCAGTTTTATTTCTCCGTACTCATTTTGTTTTCGAGTCCATAGTCTATATTTTAGATCATTTAAGTCCATCTTTAAAAACAGGGGTTTCTAACATTCATAAGTGATAATTTGATAATCCAGTTCTTTATGGGATCGACCCTAGCTTACCCTACTACATTTTAGGAGGTTTTGGTTAGGTTTATTTTTGGTAGACACGCGACAGTCGTACCAAATTTTGGCGCCGTTGCCGGGGAATCGGCGTTTTATTTTATTATTTCTTGTGTTTTTCTAACTGTTCTTACTAACTTGTCACTTAGTTCCTTGTTCTTGTATGTGTGACAGAAATTTGAAACATCAAAGATTGAGAAATTTTGCGGCAAGGAACCAGGGACTTATAATTCATCCTTTTTCTACTCTTCCTGTAGCAAAAAGGACTCGTGCTCATATACTGGAGCAAGCTCGTCATATTTCGTTACCTCACAGTGAAAGTACATCTTCGGACGAGGAGGGTGAGCATATTTTTGAGATGGGTGATCAAACACTAAAGCAGCTTGCAGCTCTAACGTTTGATCCAAATTTGTTGTGCATAGTAGACAATGAGGCAGAAATTGAGATCAAGCCTGGGCTGATTAGAGCTCTTCCCACATTTTCAGGTTTCCGTAATACTAACTCCTTGGGTTCAATTCACATGAATGAGGCTAGTAGATTTTTGAAGGAATTTCACATAGCATGTGCGGGGATGAAACCGGCAAGGGTCACCCTCGACCAACTCAAGTTGAAGGCATTTCCTTTTGCCTTGTCTGATGCTGCCAAGGAGTGGTTATTTGAAGTACTTGCTGGAACCATCACAACATGGGATCAAATGCTAAAAGTATTCGCAGAAAGATATTTTCCAACATCTTTGATAGCAATATCAGGAAAGAAATATGTGGAATTCGACAGGACGATGCAGAGACACTTCATGAGTACTGGGAACGTTTCAAGAAACTATGTGATAGTTGCCTAAACCATCAGATCAGTGAGAAATTATTAATATAGTACTTTTATGAAGGACTCAGGGAGACAGACAGGAATCTAGTTGATGCAGCAAGTGGTGGAGCACTGGTTGACAAAACACCCGCTGAGGCAAAGAAGCTGATTGCAAACATGGCTGCAAATTCTCAGTATCGAGGAGGTCGAAATATCAGATTTACTTTTGTATGTCAAGTTAATGAAGTGGTGAGTTCTAACCTTGAACAACAACAAGTAGAAAAACTCACTTCCTTAGTGGAGCGAGTAATGATCGAAAAAGGGCAAGAAAAAGTATGTGGCCTTTGTTCAATGGTAGGACATCCAACTGATATGTGCCCTACTATGCAAGAAGAAGAAGTGAATTCTATTGGTGGTGGTCAGGGGCAGCAAAGACGTTATGATCCATTCGCTCAGACTTATAATCCGGGTTGTAGAGATCATCCAAATCTGAGATATGGTAATGCTTAGCAGCAGGCAGGCAACTCTAACCTCAGACCACCAGCTTTCCAGCAACAGCAAGCTTCAAATCCTCCACCTGGGTTTCATCAGCAACCACAATATCAGCTGCGACCTCAAAATCAGCAAGTTTCCCAGCCACAATCTGGTAGCATGTCTCTGGAAGATATTGTGAAGGAAATGGCTGACAACACTTTGCATTTTCAGCAAGAGACAAGAAGTGGTCTAAAGAACTTGGAGAAACAAGTTTCTCAGTTAGCTAACACGGTGGGAAAGCTCCAAGCTCAGAACTCTAACAAGCTTCCGAGTCAACCAGAGAGAAATCCAAAGGAGAACGCGAGTGCAATATCCCTTAGAAGTGGCAAGGAATTAGAGGTTCCAGCGAAAAAGACTGAAGGGCCAGCAGAACACCAAGAGGAACAGGAGACTATTGTTCCAGAGCAAGATAAGTAGCCCACTAAGGTAAGTGATGTTGTTTTTCATAATACTAATCAGTTTTCTTCTTCTGTTCCATTTCCTAGCAGGTTATCATCTAAGAATAAGAAGAAAGAGCATGAAAAGGAGAAAGAGACCCTAGACATTTTTCACAAGGTTGAGGTGAACATACCTCTACTAGAAGCTATAAGACAAGTGCCGCGGTATGCAAAGTTCTTGAAGGAGTTGTGCACTAACAAGAGGAGATTGAGTGGAGATGAAAAGGTCAGTGTAAGTGAGAATGTGTCTGCTGTTTTACAGAGGAAAGTTCCTCCAAAGTGCAAGGATCCAGGTATTTTTACTATACCTTGTAAAATAGGTAACACGAGATACGATAAATGCATGCTAGATTTAGGAGCTTCTATTAATGTCATGCCTTTATATATCTATAAAGCTCTGAACTTAGGACCTTTGAAAGACACTCGAGTGATTATTCAGCTTGCTGACCGTTCTAATACATACCCTCTAGGAGTAGTTGAGGATGTTTTAGTGCAAGTGAATGAACTGGTATTTCCTGCTGACTTTTATGTTTTAGATATGCTAAATGACGAATCCCCTAGTGCAGCACCTATATTATTAGGAAGACCTTTTTTGAAAACATCCAGAACTAAAATTGATGTTTACAATGGGGTGTTGACCATGGAATTCGATGGGGAGGTTATCCGGTTTAATTTATTTGATGCCATGAGATATCCCTCTGATTGTGAATCTGTTTCTAGTATAGACGTCATTGATGCACTAACTGAGCAAGTATTTTTTCTCTCTGGTCATGATGGATTAGATATTGTTTTGACTGAACTTGTGGAAAAAGAGAAATATACTGACTTGCAGGAACATTTTGAGCTTGAAGATGAGATCAAGGAAGCTTTCTCTTCTTTAGAAGTGCTTCCAAATAAGCAAGGAAGGTATACAAATCGTTTTATGCAGTTACCTGTCACATCTAACAGACTTCTGCCTTCTATTGTACAGGCCCCTGAAGTGGAACTGAAGCCACTGCCAGACCATCTCAAGTATGCATTTTTGGGAGAAAATGACACTCTACCAGTCATAATCGTGAGTAATCTAACTCCGAATCAAGAGAAAAAGCTGGTGCAAGTTCTGAAGGAGCATAAAACAGATCTAGGGTGGACGTTTGCTGATATAAAAGGAATTAATCCTTCTATGTGTCAGCACAGAATCTTATTAGAAGAGGGAGCTAAACCTGTGAGACAAGTGTAGCGACGACTTAATCCACCTATGATGGAAGTGGTGAAGAAAGAAGTAATGAAGCTTCTTGAAGTAGGGGTGATATACCCTATATCAGATAGCCCTTGGGTCAGTCCCTTGCAAGTGGTCCCAAAAAAGTCAGGAGTCACAGTGGTGGAAAACGATAAGGGAGAAATGGTTCCCACCCGAGTACAAAATGGGTGGAGAGTTTGTGTAGATTACAGAAAACTTAATTCTATGACTCGAAAAGATCATTTTCCCTTACCCTTTATTGATCAAATGGTAGAACGTCTTGCTGGTCATGCTTAATACTGTTTTCTTGACGGATATTCAGGTTATGTGCAGGTACCTATAGCTCTGGAGTATCAAGAGAAAACGACGTTCACATGCCCGTATGGCACATTTGCGTATCGTCGTATGCCATTTGAACTGTGCAATGCTCTAGCAACTTTTCAGAGATGTATGGTAAGCATCTTTTCAGATTATCTTGAAAATTTCATAGAAGTTTTCATGGATGATTTCACTGTGCATGGTGATTCTTTTAATAGTTGCTTAGAACACCTACCTTTGGTTCTTAAACGTTGTCTTGAAACTAACCTTGTGCTTAATTCTAAAAAATGTCATTTCATGTTCAACAAGGTATAGTTTTAGGCCATATTGTGTCGTCTGAAGGAATAAAAGTTGATAAAGCTAAAATAGATCTTATTTCTTCTCTGCCTTACCCCGCCTCTGTGCGGGAAGTTCGATCTTTTCTTGGCCATGCAGGTTTCTATCGAAGGTTTATTGAAGGCTTTTCGAAGATTGCACAACCACTATGCAGACTACTCCAAAAAGATGTGGAGTTCCATTTTGATGAGGCCTGTAAACAAGCATTTGATAAGCTGAAAGACAAGTTGGTCACTGCTCCTGTTCTACAACCTCCTAACTGGGAGCTTCCGTTCGAGCTGATGTGCGACGCTTCTAATTATGCTGTAGGGGCAGTGCTAGGACAGCGAGTTGGAAAAGTTCCCCATGCCATCTACTATGCCTCAAGGACTTTGGATGCAGCTCAAGCTAATTATACTACAACTGAGAAAGAACTTTTAGCTGTAGTTTTTGCTTTAGACAAATTCAGGTCTTATTTATTGGGTACTAAAATTGTTGTGTTTACTGACCATGCAGCGCTAAAATATCTGTGGTCAAAAGATGTATCCAAACCTAGGCTAATACGTTGGATATTATTGCTTCAACAATTTAATGTTGAAATAAAAGATAAAAAAGCTTCTGACAATAGTGTTGCTGATCATTTGAGCAGGTTAGTTATTAAAGCTGATGAAGGTAAAGCCCTAATCAATGAAGAGTTCCCCGATGAGCAACTTCATGCCTTGAACTCAGGAACTCCGTGGTATGCTGATTTGGAGAATTTTCTAGTATCAGGGAATTTTCCAGCCAGCTACACCAAAGCACAGAAGGACCGGATGCGAAGTATAGCAAGATACTACATATGGGATGACCCATACCTCTGGAAATACTGTGCTGATCAACTGATCAGAAGGTGCGTACCTGATTCTGAAATTCTTTCTAGACTAACTTTCTGCCATTCTTATGCATGTGGGGGACATTTTGGACCAAAGAGAACCGCACGCAAGGTTTTAGAGAGTGGATTCTACTGGCCATCCATATTTAAAGATGCATACGAAATCTGTAAGGCATGTGATAGTTGTCAAAGAACAGGTAGACTAGGTCCTAGGAATGAGATGCCTCAAACTCCTATCTTAATATGTGAAATCTTCGACGTTTGGGGTATGGATTTCATGGGACCCTTCCCCTCTTCTTTTGGTTTTCAATTTATTTTGCTTGCTGTCGATTATGTCTCAAAATGGTTGGAAGCTATAGCCACCCGTACTGATGATTCTAAAGTTGTTGCAGAATTTTTGAAATCAAATATTTTTGCTAAATACGGATTCCCAAGAGCCATCATCAACGACAAGGGGACACACTTCTATAATAAGACTATAGGAGCTCTCTTGAAGAAGTATAATGTGTTTCATCGAGTGTCCACTGCATATCACCCACAAACAAAAGGACAGGCAGAAGTTTCCAATTGAGAAATCAAGTCCATTCTAGAGAAGACTGTGAATCCAAACAGAAAAGATTGGAGTCTCCGCCTCAACGATGCTCTGTGGGCGTACAGAACAGCGTATAAAACTCCGATCGGGATGTCTCCTTACATGCTCGTGTTTGGTAAACCTTGCCACCTTCCGGTAGAATTGGAACAGAGTGCCTTTTGGGCCGTGAAACAATGCAATATGGAAATGGATGCAGCGGGTGAGCACAGGAAACTTCAATTGCAAGAACTGGAGGAAATTCGGAATGATGCTTTCGAGAATGCAAGAATGTACAAGGAGAAGAGTAAGGCATTCCATGATCAGCGTATCACACGAAAGGCATTTATAGTTGGGCAGAAAGTTCTCCTATATCATTCTCGACTCAAACTCTTTCCTAGAAAACTCCGTTCTCGATGGGTAGGCCCCTTTATTATTACCAAGGTATATGACCATGGTGCGGTTGAGATTCGTAGTGAGGAGACGGAGAAGGAATTCAAGGTGAACGGTCATCGACTAAAGCCTTACTATGAGGGTTATCAAGTCCGGAACCTTGAAGTGGTGGAGCTAGAAGCTCCACATTATGAAGACTAGTATGCTGGAAGACGTCGAGCTAACGGCGATAAATAAAGCGCTCTTGGGAGGCAGCCCAAATTTAGAATTTTTTTTTTTTCTGATAATTTTCTTTTACTTTGTTTTCTCCAAAAAAAAAAAAAAAAAACAGCTCAGATATTTCGTTTGCTCCTATTTTGTAAGCCCCCTATAATATTCAGGAAACTAATTCTGTTTTTATCTGGTATCAGTTGTTGCAGGACAGTGGGATTGGCTGGACACAATGGTGGAGTTAAAGCTGCACTGAAACAACACCTGCTTATATCCGAAAATGTTTGCAGCAAGAAAATATAAAAATATTCAAGCTTGGGGGATACCATCAGGTTAGATATACAGTCACTCATCCAAGCAACTTCACCCGGACACATTTAAGGGAGCACATACATTTGCTGCCAGATTATCTGACATCATAAGATTGAATGGGTGGTTGAGCATCTCCAATGTGTTCACAGCAAGACTTCGTGAGCAAGTCCAAGCTTGGGGGGATGCCATCAGGCTGGTTACACAGTTAGTACCCTACAATATTTAACTCATCCGGTGAGCTCGTTTCCTTGTCTCTTTCTATTTTTATCCCCTTATTTTTTTTACAGTCACACATTGAGGGCAATGTGTGAATTAAGCTTGGGGGGAATGCATTATATTCGGTCTCTTGCGGTCTCTTGGTATGTCACTGGGTATGGTATGGTATTGAGTCTGACAATGAAATTTAGCCAGTGCTTTGCATATGAACAGTACATTCACTCTACAATGCTTAACTTAGGCTGATAGACTTGTATGTATGTAAAAAAAAAAAAAAAAAAAAAAAAAAAAAAAAAAAAAAAAAAAAAAAAAAAAAAAAGATTCCGTAAACAATAGCTAGCCTGGTGGAAATCAGCTTGTGGTGGAGTAAAAAGAAAGAAATGAGTTAGGCATCAAAGTTTTACACTATATAAGCCAAAAAGCTTACCCATGCCATGATTCATCGTTAAACCCAATTTGAGCTTTATAGACCTACTTTTCTTGCAAAATGTCTGAAACATGAAATACTTACCTATAAGATTAGTAGAGCATGTCAAAGGGTGAATTGGATTATCGTTGTGGTAATGATGTAAATTGGTGGTGAAGTTTATATTTTTAAAAGTTTCATGTTAAAGGCTCTACGTACCAATGTATGGGTAAAAAAAAAAAAAAAAACCATATCAGTACGTGTGATGTTTTATGTATCGTGATTGAGTAACTCGAGTTAGTAAATCTGTAGGGGTATCTTAAAACCTAGTGCCTTGGGCCAATTGGACCGGGAGTCACTGGTTGAAAGCTTGCTAAATGGGTTGCTTGACAGATACTTGACATTAAGAGTCATGAAACAAGAGTCATGAAACACATTAAAAAAAAAAAAAAAAAGTAAATAAATAAATAAATTCATGAAGTTGGAAGGGCCTGTGATATGAGTTCTTATGTTGTGGTTGTGGTTTTGTATATTTTGCTCTGCTAATCTTAATCCTTTTTACCACATTCCGAAAGGTTCTCCAAAACCTCACTTACCTTGGCCCTGTTTTATCCTTGATTCAAGTCCTAAGGATCTTGATTTACTCCACTACATTGTTGATGGAAGGTAGGCTGTAATTGTTTTAAGAGTTGGTAATTGATTTGGTAATCATAAAAATGATTTTCCCCCTGCATACATACTTGACTTGACGTTGTTATTGAGAAAAGTAGAGTGATTATTACAGAATGCTTAGCTGGTTTTGATGTGTCAATATACTTGGCTTGAAGTTGTAATTGAGCAAGAGTGGAGTATTTGTAACATGTAAGGTTGCATACTGTTATATCAAGAGTCTAACTTCTTTGTAATTTCATGTCTTTGCTTGAGGACAAGCAAAACTATAGCTTGGGGGAGTTTGATAGGGCAAAAAAAAAAAATAATATTTATATTTATTAAACTCTTGATTTTATATTGGTATTTGATTAATTAAAGGTATATTACGTAATTTTCTTATTTAGACACGAGTAACTACTAATTTATTCTTATTGTCTGTAGGAAGAAGATTATGGTAGCAAAATACATTTGACCACTACTCGGATCAAAAGAAGCATAGCTCACAAGACTAAAGTAAGTCACATATATTAAGCCCAATGATGTTTGAGTGCAAATTGCCACGTGGGCCTTGAGGTACACAAACATGTCACTCAGCCAACACAAATAAAAAAGCAGCAGTGAAGAGTTCATCTCCATACTCTTGTGGGTATCAAATATCAGCGTAGAGAAGAAAAAGATAAAAAATCAGATAATTATTGGAGCGAAATACTCGGAGCTACGGAGAGGAATCAGAAACGAAT